AATATACCGTGTTGGATTAACTTGTATAGTATTATATTTAGGTATATAAAGTTACATATTTTTAGATTATTCACTAACATAAACTGCACAGTCTGCATGGGTTATCTCTTATAACAGCAAATATTGTGCAAACAATATAGTTCTAACAAGAATATTTCCTAATAGCTGGATGGGTTAAAGGCATGTTTCTTCGACTAAATGTACAAAATAGATATGCAGAAAAATGATATTTTGTAACATGACTACTTCTTAATATTCCTAGTAATTTAATTAAAAAAAATAGAAATGAAAGAGGAAAGACAGACATTTATTATATATATATAATATCAGTGAGAGACCAACTGAGTAAGCAATTTTTTTATTCATAGTCAGTTTAATTACTATTGTATGGATAGGAAGACCATATTTTAATCAAATATTTACATTTAATCTTTACTTTGTATTTTACTTAACATATCATTAATTTTTTTTGTTTTCATTCCTCTTGTTTGTTAATTTTTTTTGTTAACTCCTATTTTTGTTGCTTTGTGTACAACGCCTTGTATCTATATTGTTGCTACTTGTGAAAACCTATTAGTGGCTTATTTTGTTATCCTAAAACTGTATCTATTTGCTGTACTGTAGCCCTGGTTTTCCTATGAATAAATAAATAAATAACTGTTTTGGTTTCTATTATTCTTACTAAAATTTATCATGTATATTTTTTTAAATATGTACAGATATCATCATTTACAATTGTACTATATTAGAAAGATTGTATTCTGAATTCGCGTCTTACGATATCCTGAGAGATGATAAGAAATAGTGAGTACTGGTAAAATTTGTATTCTTACTTTGTCACGAGTTATTTATTCGACATAATTGCGTTAGTTTCAACTATAGCATAATTTAAAAATAGAAGTACTTTATAATGACTATTATTTTATTTATTTATACTTAATTATGCACACTGATAATACATAAAAATATGACAGAGATAAGTAAATGTACAAAGGCGAGCTTAACTCTGAAAGAGTTCTCTTCTAGCAAACCCAAAATGGAAAGGAGTATCAATGTCAGCGGGCAGAGCGGTGTACAATATTGTGACAACTTTTAAACAAAAAGAACTAGACTTAAGTTTTATAATAATATAATATAATTATATATTATAATTATATATTATATAATATCTTAGTAAGACAAGATACTGAGAAAAGAGAGAAATTCTGAGTTCAAAAGTTCACCTATCATCACCTACTGGTATTCCACCACTATAGCCCACATGGAGTTACTATAACATTTTAATCCCATTAAGAAAATAAAACTAATGAAGCTCACTCATAATAAAACATATTTTTTACACTACTTAACTAATTTCCTATTAATAATAATATTATTGGCAATGAGCTAAACTCGGCACTGGGTACATAGTCATGTTGCTTTTACACTTTCCAGTTACCAAGTAGTCGACGTTCGACATGTTTAGAGTATTCAGCCCATATTATTATGGAAGCGTGGCAATTTTTAAAAACAATTGACCAATTTTCTATATTTTTGATCGATTATTTAAAAAGTGCTGCTATAGCGAAATTATATGGTATATCCTACTAATATTATATATATTAATGTTTGTAAAGCATAGGCGGTATACAGGTAAGCTATATTCTAACTTAATTTACAGTATACTTTATATTAGGGGTGGATAATATATGTATAGCATCTATGTATATACTGTAGTTACAATATCTATATATTGTCACAAGAATGGATATATTAAATATCAGTTATTTAGTATAAAAGAACGAAATTAAGAATCCGATTATGATTAATGTAAATAATAATTTTTTTTTGGTTTCTAATATATATTTGAAAACTTCAAAATCAAAAGTAGGTGAAGATTTTCAATTGTAGTTTATGTATAAGTTATTTATTATATGATTGAAGTTTTAGTTTGTTTCCGTAGCACCTTTTGCATAAATAAAAAAAAATTGTATAATAAAATTGTATTTAAAGATTGACAGATACTCGTATTTCAAATGATGCCACACTTCTATTTATATGCTCTTAAAATATTAGGTTAAGAAGTATAGGCAATACATAACACTAAGTTTATGCTTAAAACTCATCACAGATGTTTACATGTTTCGCGAATGCTTTCTATTTTTCGCTATTTTTATAGCCAGAGAACTCCATATTGACATAAGTAAAGTACAAAAAAGGATAAAATATTGATAAAAATAAAATTTTTAGGGATTTTATTTTACATTTATTTTATATAACCACATACCGTAACCGGGTCATGTTGATATAAAACATTTCTGTGTAAAGTAATTAATAGCTACGTAGAGCAATATAATCATAAATAAAATATTTTTTACACAACTAGGAATGGTAAACACGCTGATGGAAATCGTCATTTATCGACCTCAAAAGTGGCATTGTCAGCAAAGTACACAGGCCGATGATAACACTCATGCGTTGCCATTTATAAGGACTAAAATATTTTCTCTTTGTACCCAGTAAATTCACTACCGTATCCCACATAGAAATATAATAATATTCTAAGTAACTCTGGTTACATTTAATAGACAGATCAATTGGTAAAAATATTAGAGATTTAACACATCGATGTTTCTTTTGATAATCTTTGTAGATAGATACTCTTGTTTCCTCCAAAAGATTACATTAATAAACTCGTTAAAAAATAAAAATCATTACAAGAAAAAAATACACTGAAGCAATAAGTAGCCTTCTCTTTATAATGATTTATTTATATATTTGTTTACTTTCACTTTATTGCAAGTACTAATAATACATACAGAAATCTGACAGTAATATACAAAGGCGAGCTTAGTTCTGCAAGAGATGCTAATTCGAAAACGTATTATTAAAACGATATAATTAAGCAGGTAAATACTATTTTTGTTCAGCGTTATCAAAATAAAAGCCAACGGGCGAGCTTCCCGGAACATTTTTCCTGGTAAAAATATCAATACTAGGTGATCCTTCTATAAAAGCAATAATATACAAAATAACAAAATCTACACTGCTTAGATTATATCGCGTCAACCGAACTTTCCGCCTAATTACTTAGGCTGTATTAATATAGGGAAAGCAGCATAAAAATAGGTCATATATTGGCGAATGAGCGAGACGGAAATTAGTGCAACAAATTGTGGTATGGCGCTGTCTCGCTCCCGCGCCGGAAATCAATAATCGCATCTCGCCACGTGGAGGAAGCGAAGCCTGTTCCATTTACACTAGTCAAACGTCGCAAACGGTCGGCTTTGACAACCGACCATTATTTGAAAATTGAATTCAAGGGTCTTCTTCTATTTTTGCTAGGCGAAGATTGAGATTGGATTTGGAACTGTACGAGTGGAATGAACTATTTCGGCGCTGTACAATTTAGTCTTTGTTTCGATTAAATCAGAATTTTGATTAAGCAGTGACAACAAAAAATGCTAATATATATGATGATTAAAGCATTAAATAATTTATTTAAATACGTAATAATTTACTTTATATTGATTTCTCTACAAATATAAGATGATATAGCAATTTTTATATAAGTATAAAACATACCTAGAATGCCATAATTAATTTCATTAATTATGATGATAATTAATTGCCATCATTTTTAAATTTATAAATATATTTATTATTTATGTCTAAAACTTTATTTGTCTCTTAATATTAAGTTGAAAATTAGTACACGTATTGCCCTCTTTTGGTATATAAACGAAAACTTCAATAAGGGAAAGTGATTCTGCTTATTTACATGAACAAGTTATATAGTAAGTAGGTAAGAAACAACCCAAACGATAGTGCTTCTGCAGTGCGCCGATAGATGGCTTTTTTGTTTTATTTACTTGATGTTTCGTAGCGCCACCACACGCGTAGCACTCTTTATTTCGTAGCGCTATTCATGTAAGCGTAACTGAAAGTTTTTTGAATTTTCCTACAGATGGCGCCCTGAGTTTGGTCTCTAAATAACTTAAAAGTTTGCATGGAGTACAAAAAATGTATCTGCTTTATATTCTAGCAAATATATATAAGTATATAGTGCATTTCATATTTACTCTCTATACGTATAATTCAATTTTAATGATTGATTAGAGAATGAAAACTTTCTTATTCAAAAGAATCTATGTTTAATTAACAAATATCTCAGGATTTGTTAAAGATTTTGTGATTGATCAACTAACGGTTATGAAATTTGTAACTATATGCGAAAATGTGCATTCGCATGAGGCCCCCTAATGTGAGCTTCGTGTGTATTAGGGCACATGTTTTATGGCCAGTGACGGCGAGCGCTACACGATGCTTCAATAATTATAAACCTGTTTTTTAAATTAACCGACGTTTTAAGATAGATCTGACCAACTAGGGTAAGTACGTAATTATTGACCACATGTGAATGTCTCTCCAATTTGAGTTTTATGTATGTGGACGCATGTCCTATGCCCAGTGGCGACAAGCGCTACAGGATGTTCAAAACTTTAGCATAGCGATATGTGATATTGTCAATTATCTGTAAATTTTTAAAAATAATTGAATAACTTTCAATATTTCTAATTGATTATTAAAAAAATGCTCTTCTAGCAAATTAAAACATCAATGAAAGAATAGATTGCTCATAAATGTACCACTGTAAACTTTGCACCGACTTCATTTAAAGCTTCAGAATTTTTCAAATACTTTTTTTCCATTGAAATCAAAATTTTTAGTGACAATTTTAGAAGAATGTTACTGCATAATTAACGTTTTAGTTCGCTAATAGACTTTTTTAAATAATTAAATAGAAACATTAATATTTATTAAACAGTTCTTTTTAATTGGCAGATAATTATGACATTATCACCCTTCAGCAAGGATTTATCCTTATTATTATGAATACTCTTAAATAATAAACCTGATTTTTTAATTAATGAAGACTTTTTAATAGGATTAATTGACTTTCAGTCTATAATTTGTGATCAAATATGAGAAAGCATGCACTTACATGATGTCCCCCAATTTGAGTCTCGTATGTATGAGGGCGCATGTCTTATGGTCGGTGGCGGCGAGCGCTGCGCGGCGCCTGCGCATCGGCCGCGGCGACGGCGGCGGCGACTCGCCGGCGGCGGCCACGCGGCGCACGCCCGGCGAGCTGCCGCGCCGCCGCACTGACGCGTGCCGCCCTCCCACGCCGCCCAGCATTCTGGAAAAAGGTAAAAAATATTGTTAATATTTATTTATTTTTTCTAGCTATTTCCCGCGTTTTGACCACCTATATATAAAATAAGTGTGTTAAGTTAGTTCATATGCTAACAATTTTTGTTATTAAACTTTATTTTTTAAAAGTCAAGGCAAGTGTTCATGGGCGACGGTAGCCGCTTTCCATCAGGTGAACCGTCTGCTCGTTTGCCTCCCTAATAATAAAAAAAAGAAAATATTTAAACTTTAAGAATGACAAAGTAACAAACATACATATATAAATATTAAGAATTGTAAAGATTTTATTTGGATACATGGAAGCTTAAATAGCTGAATGGATTATTAATAATAACAAATAATTGCTTTCTTTAAATATCGATAATAATTTTCTCTCCTGTTGCGTTTTAATGGTAATTATTTGTAATAATATATTATAAAAATATTTACATACAGCTATAATAATTACTACTTTTTTTGTAATCGATACAGCTTACTGCCCTGTTAATGCCACATCAATGTTGTAACAATTGGAGTTGCTTTTTTCTTTGCTGAACAAAAAACAAAACGGCTTAATTCAAACGAATCTTAACACACAATACTGTATTGTAAATGCAAATATTTTCAATCTAATGTGTATCAACTATCTAATGTTTATATAACAAGTAAGTAATTTTTGCAGTTTTTATGTTAAATTTAATACGATTTTTAAGAATTGATCACCTAAAGTATCACCTAAATATCACTAAAAGTGCAGATCACCTAAACAATTTTTATTTTTTAATTTTGTTTTCTTTTGTTTTTCTGTAAAGTGAAAATATTTGATTTACTTACTATTAGAACTTCATTGATACTATGCAACATTTCATTTTTATTTACTTTTTCACAAATTAAATCACTACTTTTTGTGGAGAAAAATATACTTGCTACCAAATTGGTTATCAACATTCAAATAATATATATAGATATTAAGCTAAACAAAAATCCCAAAAATGTAAAGAGGAAACGTAATTTTCTATCTTGTCGATTTAGTAACCTTAATTATTTCGCGAAAGCAAACACAAACGGGAAAGTTGGCTCATTTTCAAATTGAAAACGGAATCACCTCATCGGGTGAAATTGTTCTGTTATTTTATCAGGACCGGTTGACCGGCTTGCTAATTAAAATGACCGCGCATCGTCTGGAAAGGGCAGTTTCATAATTAGCTGATTAGTCTGTAAGTGAATTCACTGACAGAATTAATAATGTACGTAGTATTTGTAGCATATTAAAATGAACTAAACTTCATAACTATTGAAATCTCACAGTAAGGTTTTATATGATTTTTAGAAACTATTTAAGATAAGTTACATCTCGCGTCCGTTCATGTCAATTTAAATAAAAAGCATCTTAAATCTAATTGGTATTATAAATTTTATCTATATTTATGGCGTTTTATCCTTCTTAATGTAATATGTAATAAACGTTTTATATGTAAGGTTTTTTTTTTTACAACACAGGGGGCAAACGTGCATGCGGCTCACCTGATGGTAAGTGACTACCGCCGCCCATGGTCACCCACAACACCTACGGCATTGCAGGTGTGCTGCCGGTCTTATAATATTCAATTTATAACTGTAGATACGATTAATTAAAACAATATTTATTTAATTTAAATGATTTTAATGATATTTTTACTCAATTTGAAGAAAGAAGGAGACGGTATTATGAGAGATGGAGATGAACTCAAATAACTAATTTGACCATAAATATTGTTACATAAAAACTTTTCTTTTTGCAAGTTTTTAATTATTTTGAATTTGGAACACGTTTATTATTTTAAAAACTTCTTTGATTTCGCGCCATTTTACATATTTTTTCCTTGTTCGATCAATATATAAAATATTAGAAAATTATAATATAACACATGCAGTATATATTAATATTATGTACTGGAAGATATTTAAATAAAAAAATGAAATACATTAAAAAAAAGATGTCACACAGAAATAAATACCAGTTCTAATTTTCTGTCTATTAATCTACCTTCTTGACATCATCAAGGGTTAGAATCGTTCAATTTTCTTGAGCTCAATAAATTAATTTATATTCACCAATATGCAAATGACTTGTACAGTTTACTCATCCAGTTCAGACTTATTTGCTCCTAATATCGATCTGCACCTGTGCTCGTAGTTCGTTATTCAGAGTTGGATCTTCCCGTTTGAATTTGCAATAGAAAACTGTCCGAGCGGAATCTCTACGAGTTCAGTATTGAACGTAGTTAATCTTACCTGTTGATTTTGTGCTCACTGCACGGAGTGTGCTTTATGTAAAATTTGAAACCAAGATTTAGAATTTACGTACAAAGTGTATCGAATTTATTTATCCTACTAATATTATAAATGCAATAGTTTATAAAGACGTTTGTATGTTTAGATGATCGTTACTCAATTACACATAAACGAATAGTTTTGAATGAAATTTGGTACACAGATAAGTTATATCTTAAATTAAGACATGGGATAATCTAATATATAAAATTCTCGTGTCACAGTGTTTGTTACCAAACTCCTCCGAAACGGCTTAACCGATTTTCATGAAATTTTGTGTACATATTCGGTAGGTCTGAGAATTGGCCAACATCTATTTTTATACCCCTCAATGATGAGGGTGACCCCTAAAATTTTTTTTTTATTTCTTTGACAATTTTTTTTTATTTTTATTTAAATATGATTTAGCATTGAAAAATACATATATCTTTAAATTTTCACCCTTTTACGATCAACCTCTGTTTTTTAAGCGCGATTTTTATATTTCGCAATAAGTGGTAAAACAACGTTTACGGGGTCAGCTAGTAGTTATAATAATAATCTTTCCCATCTATTGGCAGTTATTCGAGCTATGTGACCAACTTATTACCACTTCAGCATGCTTATCCTTCCCAATATATGCACTTTGTTTCTTCAGCGGAAAGTTACTGCCAAATTAAATATTCATATAAAATAATTTAAGAAATTATAGATCTCTTCAAAATGACAACAATAACAAACAACATGTTGAAATCGTAATATTAAACAACGGCAGCTGGTCACCAGTTGTTTTGTGATTCGCTGAATTGTAATTTTAATTAAGCACAATCTTTTGTTTCGCATTCATGACTGGAATATTTTAATTATTGTTTCATAATATGTTTGTAAACGTTTTCAATTTTAGGAACAACAGGCGGTCATTAGTCGCACCAAAACAAAACTTAATGATTGAACCTCATCATTAAATTAAATATTAAATAATTTGTTTCAGTAACCATAGATCGATTGTGGCCAAACGATTTATAGGAAAATTAAAAAGATAAGATTTTGATTATGTTCCTTGGGGTAAGTTTTGTTTTTACAACACAGGGGACAAACGAGCATGCGACTCACCTGATGGTAAGTGACTACCGCCGCCCATAATCACCCACTACAATAAAGTCATTGCAAGTGTGCAGCCGGCTTTTTAAAAAGGAATATGCTCTTTTCTTAAAGGTTATGATGTTGTACCGGTTCGGAAATACTACTATTGGAAGTTGATTTCAAAGAGTGGTTGTGCGTGGAATGGCGAGGCACTTTGCCTTGAAAAACGCACGGTGGAAGACCGCCACTCGTCCAGATGGTTAGGATGAAACTTAAGTCTATGGCGGTGGTGAAAATCAGCAGCAGATATCAATCCGAATCCAATACTATCATAAAGTTTTGCTGGATTTGTACAGATGTTTATCAGGACTGTACCAAAGAAGCCTAGACTGACCTATTGTAATCAGATAAACTGTTTGAAGGACGAATCAATGAAAGTGGGTCGTGGTTTTTCCACTTTAATTTGACGCTAAAAATAAAGTTACTGCGCTTACATTCATATTAAAGCTATTAGAAAAAAAAATTAAATCGGCGTGAAAATACTTAAAATAAATTATTATCAATATGAAAGTGAGTTTATCTATCTGTTTGTTTGTAATCTTATGGTGTTATCATAAAATTTGACACAGACGTAGTATTTAGTTTGGCATGGAAAATAACATAGTCAATATATATACTTTTTACCTCGGTCAAAATATATGTTCGCGGACTAACTAATGATTAATCATATAGATTCTGCAAATACTTACATATCGCAAACTAATATATCTATACGCGTATACGTACCGTGTGTACGTAGAGTGCGCGCACACACAAATTGTGTATGTTTATCAGTCTTCCTCCATCACCAATACATTGTTCAGATAAGCCTGGAAATTGTTAAGTTTATCCGCTGTATGAATTACTATAATTTATAAATAGATAAAAAAAGATTGTGTACCAATAGAGTTCCATGGTTCTAGAAGGTACCATGAAATGTCTAAAAGGTATCAGAATGGTTTATACAAATTTTATTAAACGCGAACAATAGTCATGTACGCATACTCGTATTCATATATAATATAACTTTTATTTACCAAACACTTAACCCCCATTAAAAGAGGCCCTTTTGTAGCATGGGAACTTTAAAAAGTCGCCCGCATATTGCGGTCTTAAAAGGCACAGATTACGACTACAAAGAGATATGCTTCACGGTAGAGTGAACATGTTAATTGTAAGCAATTCAAGTTAAAAGTTGTTTATATATTTGATTTGTACATAGTATCTTTATATAACCTACCGTATATTCCTATACAATGACATGTACATGTTTTTATTAAAGTGAAAGAACAACGAACGAATGTTTTTTTTATGCAACTTATAATGGCAAACAAGCTGATGGCCCACCTGATGGAAAATGGCACCCATCGCCTATAGACATGAGCAGTAGCATAGACATACTGTTTCGCTTATGATATACCCCATGCGTTGTCATTCCTGTGAACTCAGGTGTTATTCCTCTGTACCCTGTAAATTCCACCCCTGTAAGGCCACTACTTCTTATGCTACTATGTTAGGTTGACTGGAAGAATCTCTTTTAGAGATAAGTTCGCCTTTGCTAACATTATTATTAACTTATTGTTGTTACTGTAT